AAAGTTTTTTGATGGTTCTGAGCCACCAAACACACTTAAAGCATGCAGAATTGACTCAGAATAGGAAAAGGAGACGTTTAGGTCAATTTTATGCATACTGGCGTTCGTAGATACAAGAAAACTGTTAAAATTCTTCAGAAACGTCACTTTTGAAGTGTTTTCTTGTACTTTTAAGCCAATCAGATACCCTACGGGCTCGGAAAGTGCAACGAAACCATCAAATTTTAGCTAGAACCTGTATTTTTGTCGATTTTTATTGAATTTGAACTATATTTCAACGTTTTTTGATGGTTCTGAGCCACCAAACACACTTAAAGCATGCAGAATCGACTCAGAATAGGAAAAGGAGACGTTTAGGTCAATTTTATGCATTCTGGCGTTCGTAGATACAAGAAAACTGTTAAAATTCTTCAGAAACGTCACTTTTGAAGTGTTTTCTTGTACTTTTAAGAAAATCAGATACCCTACGGGCTCGGAAAGTGCAACGAAACCATAAAATTTTAGCTAGAAACTGTATTTTTGTCGATTTTTATTGAATTTGAACTATATTTCAAAGTTTTTTGATGGTTCTGAGCCACCAAACACACTTAAAGCATGCAGAATTGACTCAGAATAGGAAAAGGAGACGTTTAGGTCAATTTTATGCATTCTGGCGTTCGTAGATACAAGAAAACTGTTAAAATTCTTCAGAAACGTCACTTTTGAAGTGTTTTCTTGTACTTTTAAGCCAATCAGATACCCTACGGGCTCGGAAAGTGCAACGAAACCATCAAACTTTAGCTAGAAACTGTATTTTTGTCGATTTTTATTGAATTTGAACTATATTTCAACGTTTTTTGATGGTTCTGAGCCACCAAACACACTTAAAGCATGCAGAATCGACTCAGAATAGGAAAAGGAGACGTTTAGGTCAATTTTATGCATTCTGGCGTTCGTAGATACAAGAAAACTGTTAAAATTCTTCAGAAACGTCACTTTTGAAGTGTTTTCTTGTACTTTTAAGCCAATCAGATACCCTACGGGCTCGGAAAGTGCAACGAAACCATCAAATTTTAGCTAGAAACTGTATTTTTGTCGATTTTTATTGAATTTGAACTATATTTCAAAGTTTTTTGATGGTTCTGAGCCACCAAACACACTTAAAGCATGCAGAATCGACTCAGAATAGGAAAAGGAGACGTTTAGGTCAATTTTATGCATTCTGGCGTTCGTAGATACAAGAAAACTGTTAAAATTCTTCAGAAACGTCACTTTTGAAGTGTTTTCTTGTACTTTTAAGCCAATCAGAGACCCTACGGGCTCGGAAAGTGCAACGAAACCATCAAATTTTAGCTAGAAACTGTATTTTTGTCGATTTTTATTGAATGTGAACTATATTTCAACGTTTTTTGATGGTTCTGAGCCACCAAACACACTTAAAGCATGCAGAATCGACTCAGAATAGGAAAAGGAGACGTTTAGGTCAATTTTATGCATTCTGGCGTTCGTAGATACAAGAAAACTGTTAAAATTCTTCAGAAACGTCACTTTTGAAGTGTTTTCTTGTACTTTTAGGCCAATCAGATACCCTACGGGCTCGGAAAGTGCAACGAAATCATTAAATTTTAGCTAGAAACTGTATTTTTGTCGATTTTTATTGAATTTGAACTATATTTCAACGTTTTTTGATGGTTCTGAGCCACCAAACACACTTAAAGCATGCAGAATCGACTCAGAATAGGAAAAGTAGACGTTTAGGTCAATTTTATGCATTCTGGCGTTCGTAGATACAAGAAAACTGTTAAAATTCTTCAGAAACGTCACTTTTGAAGTGTTTTCTTGTACTTTTAAGCCAATCAGATACCCTACGGGCTCGGAAAGTGCAACGAAACCATCAAATTTTAGCTAGAAACTGTATTTTTGTCGATTTTTATTGAATTTGAACTATATTTCAACGTTTTTTGATGGTTCTGAGCCACCAAACACACTTAAAGCATGCAGAATCGACTCAGAATAGGAAAAGGAGACGTTTAGGTCAATTTTATGCATTCTGGCGTTCGTAGATACAAGAAAACTGTTAAAATTCTTCAGAAACGTCCCTTTTGAAGTGTTTTCTTGTACTTTTAAGCCAATCAGATACCCTACGGGCTCGGAAAGTGCAACGAAACCATCAAATTTTAGCTAGAAACTGTATTTTTGTTGATTTTTATTGAATTTGAACTATATTTCAATGTTTTTTGATGGTTCTGAGCCACCAAACACACTTAAAGCATGCAGAATCGACTCAGAATAGGAAAAGGAGACGTTTAGGTCAATTTTATGCATTCTGGCGTTCGTAGATACAAGAAAACTGTTGAAATTCTTCAGAAACCTCACTTTTGAAGTGTTTTCTTGTACTTTTAAGCCAATCAGATACCCTACGGGCTCGGAAAGTGCAACGAAACCATCAAATTTTAGCTAGAAACTGTATTTTTGTCGATTTTTATTGAATTTGAACTATATTTCAACGTTTTTTGATGGTTCTGAGCCACCAAACACACTTAAAGCATGCAGAATCGACTCAGAATAGGAAAAGGAGACGTTTAGGTCAATTTTATGCATTCTGGCGTTCGTAGATACAAGGAAACTGTTAAAATTCTTCAGAAACGTCACTTTTGAAGTGTTTTCTTGTACTTTTAAGCCAATCAGATACCCTACGGGCTCGGAAAGTGCAACGAAACCATCAAATTTTATCTAGAAACTGTATTTTTGTCGATTTTTATTGAATTTGAACTATATTTCAACGTTTTTTGATGGTTCTGAGCCACCAAACACACTTAAAGCATGCAGAATCGACTCAGAATAGGAAAAGGAGACGTTTAGGTCAATTTTATGCATTCTGGCGTTCGTAGATACAAGAAAACTGTTAAAATTCTTCAGAAACGTCACTTTTGAAGTGTTTTCTTGTACTTTTAAGCCAATCAGATACCCAATGGGCTCGGAAAGTGCAACGAAACCATCAAATTTTAGCTAGAAACTGTATTTTTGTTGATTTTTATTGAATTTGAACTATATTTCAACGTTTTTTGATGGTTCTGAGCCACCAAACACACTTAAAGCATGCAGAATCGACTCAGAATAGGAAAAGGAGACGTTTAGGTCAATTTTATGCATTCTGGCGTTCGTAGATACAAGAAAACTGTTAAAATTCTTCAGAAACGTCACTTTTGAAGTGTTTTCTTGTACTTTTAAGCCAATCAGATACCCTACGGGCTCGGAAAGTGCAACGAAACCATCAAATTTTAGCTAGAAACTGTATTTTTGTCGATTTTTATTGAATTTGAACTATATTTCAACGTTTTTTGATGGTTCTGAGCCACCAAACACACTTAAAGCATGCAGAATCGACTCAGAATAGAAAAAGGAGACGTTTAGGTCAATTTTATGCATTCTGGCGTTCGTAGATACAAGAAAACTGTTAAAATTCTTCAGAAACGTCACTTTTGAAGTGTTTTCTTGTACTTTTAAGCCAATCAGATACCCTACGGGCTCGGAAAGTGCAACGAAACCATCAAATTTTAGCTAGAAACTGTATTTTTGTCGATTTTTATTGAATTTGAACTATATTTCAACGTTTTTTGATGGTTCTGAGCCACCAAACACACTTAAAGCATGCAGAATCGACTCAGAATAGGAAAAGGAGACGTTTAGGTCAATTTTATGCATTCTGGCGTTCGTAGATACAAGAAAACTGTTAAAATTCTTCAGAAACGTCACTTTTGAAGTGTTTTCTTGTACTTTTAAGCCAATCAGATACCCTACGGGCTCGGAAAGTGCAACGAAACCATCAAATTTTAGCTAGAAACTGTATTTTTGTCGATTTTTATTGAATTTGAACTATATTTCAACGTTTTTTGATGGTTCTGAGCCACCAAACACACTTAAAGCATGCAGAATCGACTCAGAATAGGAAAAGGAGACGTTAGGTCAATTTTATGCATTCTGGCGTTCGTAGATACAAGAAAACTGTTAAAATTCTTCAGAAACGTCACTTTTGAAGTGTTTTCTTGTACTTTTAGGACAATCAGATACCCTACGGGCTCGGAAAGTGCAACGAAACCATCAAATTTTAGCTAGAAACTGTATTTTTGTCGATTTTTATTGAATTTGAACTATATTTCAACGTTTTTTGATGGTTCTGAGCCACCAAACACACTTAAAGCATGCAGAATCGACTCAGAATAGGAAAAGGAGACGTTTAGGTCAATTTTATGCATTCTGGCGTTCGTAGATACAAGAAAACTGTTAAAATTCTTCAGAAACGTCACTTTTGAAGTGTTTTCTTGTACTTTTAAGCCAATCAGATACCCTACGGGCTCGGAAAGTGCAAAGAAACCATCAAATTTTAGCTAGAAACTGTATTTTTGTCGATTTTTATTGAATTTGAACTATATTTCAACGTTTTTTGATGGTTCTGAGCCACCAAACACACTTAAAGCATGCAGAATCGACTCAGAATAGGAAAAGGAGACGTTTAGGTCAATTTTATGCATTCTGGCGATCGTAGATAAATAAATAATAAATAAATAAATAATATTTATTTGCCCAACAGAACGATCAGTTCCAATTACAGGACAAATACAAAAATACAAAAACTATGACTAAACGTAATAATACTAATCCATCAATCCATACACAAGACATACTACATTACAAGACATACTACAGCTAAACAAACGTATCATGCCATAACGGTTATAAAACATCTATAAATTTAGACTAATGCAGATCGCTGTTTTTAGTTCCTTAATTGTGCAGCTGAAAATGTCACAGTGGCTACTTCTTTCCAATTTATTAATAAACGAGCAGATAATATGCAGTGGAGCTCTTCTGCCAACATTTGTCCGCGGTGTACTCAAGTAAAACGTAGTGGAAAACCGATTATTTAATCGAGGCACAAAGAATTTCAGGCCAGATATTAGCTCCCCGCAGTCAATTTTGTAACTTAACATCTTATGCAGAAATGTGAGTGCATTAATTACTCGTCTGCATTGAAGGGAATTAAAGTTGTATTTCTCTAATAAAACTTCTTGTGGGTAATTTCTGGCTGGCCATGCACCTTCATCCTTGAAATACAAATACTTCAAAAACTTACGTTGTACAGTCTCAAGCATTAATATCTGATAATTGTAGTAGGGGAACCAAGCAAGTGGACAGTATTCTAATCTAGATCTCACCAATGAATTAAAGAGTGTAATTAACGGCAAAACATTATTAAAACACTTACAGTTTCTAACAATAAACCCGTACATCTTACCAGCTTTATCTACACTATTAACAACATGTTCTTTAAAGGTAAATTTCGAATCGTAGAGCACACCAAGATCCTTTACAGACGTGCATCGCTTCAGAACATGATTATCAATATCATAATCGAATTGTGGAAAATTATGAGATAGCGTGAAGGAGACAACCTGACATTTATCTGTATTTAACGGCAAAAAGTTTTGGAAGCACCATTCTTTTAGGTTATTTAAGTCACCTTGAAGCAGTAAACAATCCTCCATATTGGTAATTTTTCGAAAGATTTTGATATCATCCGCGTATATAAGAATTTCAGAGTTTACGATGGTATTAACAACGTCGTTCAAGTAGATTATGAAAAACAAGGGTCCAAGTATGGATCCTTGTGGAACACCAGAGACTGAGGTGTAAGGGGCAGATTTATAACCATTGTATAAAACGAAGTTTGTCCTAGAATTTAAATAAGAACCAAAGAATCTTATCAAAAGGTCAGATAAACCAATAGCAGACAACTTACGGAGCAAAATTTGGTGGTCCAATTTATCAAACGCTTTGGATAGATCCGTGTAAATAACGTCAAGCTGACTCCTATGATCTAATGTATCTGCGATTATTTGTGACATACACGTTAAATTGGTATGAGTTGATCTGCCTGATGTAAAACCATGCTGATGTATAGAAATAACCTCCTTAACATTGAAATAAATCTGGTGATACAAAATACTTTCAAATATTTTAGAAAAATTCGATAAAATTGAGATGGGACGATAGCTGCGTACATCAGAAACATCACCCGATTTATACACCGGCACAATTTTAGCAATCTTCCACAAATTAGGAAAACAGGAGTCATTAAGGCATAGTTTAAATAAGTAGGACAACGGCTTAAGAAAGACAGCTGAACAATCTTTCAGAAGAAATGATGGGACCTGGTCAGCACCAGAAGTACTGTTGTCTTTAAGTTTCTTGATAGCGTTAAACACAAGATCCTCAGAAATGTGGACATGAATCGATAAGTTGCTGCTAAAATCACCTAAATAGGTACTAGCCTGAAATTGATTTACTTTAGGCGAATTAAAAGCCGAACAAAAATGCCGAGCAAACATGTTAACAATATCCAATGGACGGTCACAGTGAGTGTTATCCAAATGAACAGAATTTGGAATAGACGATCGACCACGTTTTTCTTTGATAAATGTCCAGAAATATTTCGGATCATTCAGAAGTGAATTTTGCGCCTTAATAACGTAATCATTAAAATCTCGACGAATCAGATGTTTGACTGCACATCGTATGCGGGCAAAATTATTATACGCTTCCACAGAAGACCGCTGTTTATAAGACCTAAATAGTTTCCCTTTTAGCTTAAGCATATTTCTAAGTTCAGCAGTGTACCAGTTAGGGTAGCGAAACCTTTTACACTTAAATAGCGGCACATGCTTATCAAATAAAGAGTATAACATGTTATAAAAATGCTCACATGCTAGGTTTACGTCCGCGATTCTATATAAATAACTCCAGTCAATGTTGAGAATATCGTTGTACAATAGAGGAAAATTTGCTTTTTTAAAATTGTATAATTTCGTCGAATTACACATCGGAAAGCTTGTACAAGAAAAGTTTTTTAATTGAAGGTCGATATTTAAAGCTGGATGGTGCAAATCTTCCTTAATTAAAGGATCCAAGTCACGGGTAACATAGCAACAATTTGAAGTACCGAAGACTAGATCCAAGAGGCGACCATCGGAATTTAGAACAGTATTAAATTGTCTTAAGTTTAAAAGTGAGGCCATTGTCTGAACTGAACTTGATTTTGTGTCCGCAGTGCTACTTAAAAAGCATGGTGCATTGAAATCACCTACTAAAAATATATTAGAAAGCTCAATAGTGTAACTTTCAAAGCATTCAATAAAAGACACAAAATCATTTACCGAAAGATCTGGGGGAATGTAAACTACAAACATGTGCAAACTGTATTGTCGATAAGTTAACTTACAACCCACAACATCACATAGAAAGAAATCCTTGAATAACGACATATCAAGACCCTTTACGCTGAATTGGGCATTGACAGCAAGAACTACTCCACCACCTCTTTGACGACCAGATCTAATGAAATTTCTGTCCGAGCGAAACGTAACATAATTAGGTGGAATGAATTCACTGTTAGCAATTGATGGGTCTAGCCACGATTCAGTAATACAAATTACATCAAATTCGGAAGACGTTAAGAGGCAGTAAATGTCATTAATGCGTGATCTAATGCTTCGTGCGTTCTGATAGTAAATGGAGAAGCTTTGGATAGTCTTGGAGAGTCTAACAGGAGATAGAGTAGAATTCGAATTTGACTCACTTACGCTAGCCGTAACAGTGCGAAACATTTCTGGATCATTTAGAGAAGAACCAGAATATAAGCAGTATGAAAGTGTTTTGTCATTAGGATCAAAAGCGACCCCAGCCCTTGTCAAGCTAATATAGTTGTGACATTTACTTAATGTTGGCCTAAAAAATCACCTTTTACACAATCAATACCAAAAACTTCTTTGTTGATCTTACTGATAACCCCCTGAAAAGCGGAACAGACATTATATTCCCAAGCAGCATGAGAACAATTAATAATATTGCTATTGTTATCAGAAGATGTTTCTTTCTCTTTAAGTTTACAGCAATTAATACACTTCTTCAAATCTTTGTTGCTTTTATCCAATGTACAGTCTTGTATTTCATGTGGTCCCGCACAAAATGAGCATGTAGCTTTATTTTTACAATATTTTTTAACGTGGTTAAAAGCATTACACTTAAAACAACGTCTAACATTAACGTCATCATAAACCGAGCAAAAATTTAAACCAATAAGTAAACCATCAATAGACTTCAGTTCACGATAAGTATCCACATCAACCTCTATAATACATTGAAGTATATCCTTATTATATTTAGTTCCCCAAAATTTTAAACATTTGTAATCGGAAGCATTACCCTTAAATATTGTGTCATTTTGCCTAAGCAGACTGTGAATCGCAGCAGTCTGATCCATGTAAGCTGGTATACCGACAATTCTAATTTGCGGTTTTATATTAGTAAGTTTTCTGATTTCATAATTATCAGATAATTTATCGCAAGCAAGGCTTTTTAACTTCTCGGCCTCTTTTGTACAACAAGTAAGAATGACACCACCAGATGAAATTGATTTAACCGATTTTACCTTAACATCAGCATTTACAGGATCCACACTATTAATAATATCGCCTTTAGTTTTGTTAACAGACTGCTTAGAATTTTTGGGCTTAATAATGACTTTAGCGTTGTCATTGGTTCGGGATATATCAGCATAGGAAAGCTTAGTATTAGTAACGGTTGAAGAACGAGGCTTAGAAATATCAACACTGTTAGACATCAACTTAACAAGATCTATATTACTTAATTTTAGAGTTTCCACTTCCTGCTTCAAGCACGCCATTTCCTGCTGAAGTGTTTCTGTTGCTCGACTGATTGCATTCTGAATTTTAGTACAAATTAATTCCCCAAATAGGTCAGGATTGAATAAACGACTTTTAAAATTATCGTTGCAATCAGCACATAATATTTTTACATGACCTAGACGTCTATGCACCCTAGTAACACTAGTAATTTCCTCAGCAACTAAACCTAAACAAGATAAATGCATTGGACGAGCACACCCATCACAAATCACAGCTATATCAGGATCAACAATTGCAGAACACCCTGGACAGTTCAGTGCAGAACGAGGAGAATGATTCAAATTAAAACTCATCTTAGAGAGCAATAAAACAATGAATTATAACCTTAAACACAATGTAAACAAATCCCAAGTGCAAACAAAGTGACCGCCAGCCGCTAGCCGTAGCAGCGCGCCGGCAGGATACGAACGACTGGAGAACTAACAATGTAAACAAGGGATTAATATTAAATTACAAAACAAAAATAAAAATTTACAGATAGATAAACAGCTCTTGAGACTGTTCAGCCTTTAAAGGCGAAGTTTACAATACTTATGTATAACAACTCACCAATTAAAAAGGCATTTAGACACAATAGATTATGGATTAAACACACGAAACAGTACACGAAATGACAGTTGTAGTAGATACAAGAAAACTGTTAAAATTCTTCAGAAACGTCACTTTTGAAGTGTTTTCTTGTACTTTTAAGCCAATCAGATACCCTACGGGCTCGGAAAGTGCAACGAAACCATCAAATTTTAGCTAGAAACTGTATTTTTGTCGATTTTTATTGAATTTGAACTATATTTCAACGTTTTTTGATGGTTCTGAGCCACCAAACACACTTAAAGCATGCAGAATCGACTCAGAATAGGAAAAGGAGACGTTTAGGTCAATTTTATGCATTCTGGCGTTCGTAGATACAAGAAAACTGTTAAAATTCTTCAGAAACGTCACTTTTGAAGTGTTTTCTTGTACTTTTAAGCCAATCAGATACCCTACGGGCTCGGAAAGTGCAACGAAACCATCAAATTTTAGCTAGAAACTGTATTTTTGTCGATTTTTATTGAATTTGAACTATATTTCAACGTTTTTTGATGGTTCTGAGCCACCAAACACACTTAAAGCATGCAGAATCGAGTCAGAATAGGAAAAGGAGACGTTTAGGTCAATTTTATGCATTCTGGCGTTCGTAGATACAAGAAAACTGTTAAAATTCTTCAGAAACGTCACTTTTGAAGTGTTTTCTTGTACTTTTAAGCCAATCAGATACCCTACGGGCTCGGAAAGTGCAACGAAACCATCAAATTTTAGCTAGAAACTGTATTTTTGTCGATTTTTATTGAATTTGAACTATATTTCAACGTTTTTTGATGGTTCTGAGCCACCAAACACACTTAAAGCATGCAGAATCGACTCAGAATAGGAAAAGGAGACGTTTAGGTCAATTTTATGCATTCTGGCGTTCGTAGATACAAGAAAACTGTTAAAATTCTTCAGAAACGTCACTTTTGAAGTGTTTTCTTGTACTTTTAAGCCAATCAGATACCCTACGGGCTCGGAAAGTGCAACGAAACCATCAAATTTTAGCTAGAAACTGTATTTTTGTCGATTTTTATTGAATTTGAACTATATTTCAACGTTTTTTGATGGTTCTGAGCCACCAAACACACTTAAAGCATGCAGAATCGACTCAGAATAGGAAAAGGAGACGTTTAGGTCAATTTTATGCATTCTGGCGTTCGTAGATACAAGAAAACTGTTAAAATTCTTCAGAAACGTCACTTTTGAAGTGTTTT